TTCCAGGAAACCAGGCTTCCAAACTATGCCAGCACAGGGCCAGCCTCCAGGACCCAGGCACCAGGCTCATCCCAGAGGCACTGGTTGGCCCCCAGGGACCCAAGCACCAGGCTTGTTCCCATAGATATTACTGGTGAGATTTCATTATCAGGACTTCTTAGCACTCCTCTCTCTGTGCTTCTAACCCATTGATTGTTAACAGGTCATTAAAAAAGCCAACCTTATATGCACTGTATACTGGCAAATGTTTTTATCCCTCTACAATAATAGTTCTCACACTTAAGCGGGCATCAGAAACACATGAGAAAGCTATTATAAGGCCAATTTCTGGGCCTCACACCCAAAGTTTCTGATACAGTAGGTATTGGGGTGAAGCTCAAGAATTTGCATGTTTCAAGCAACTTTCCAAGTCTTCTGCTGCTCCGGGACCTGACTGACAAAGGCATCTCAGAGCGAAAACACAGACACACACACGCATACACCCGAGATGGTTTGTGAAGCCTCATGTGTTTATTTTGGAAAACAGAAAGTATTCTAGATGATTTCCAAGAATTTAAAATTCTCTCTTATATGTTAGAAAATATATAAGGTCTTACTGTTATATCAAATTCTTATTTTGTATTAAAATTTAATGGTTTTATTAATGATGCTATCTGACTATCTAATTAACTTTTTTCTAAGATCTTTGTATGCATTATATGCATAAAATAATGTTACATTTATGAATTTTACAAAATTCAAATTTTATGATAATCCTCTAAATTGTCTTGAAAAAACTAAAGTGTAATAAATCTTTATTAGAGAATTGATTTGCTCATTAGACCCAGTAATGAATCAGTTTCTGTGGTATTAACCAAATTATGATTTTTTTTTGCCTAATTTTATGAAAGTTCAGTTTCTTACTTCTACTTGTGAATTTTACTTTTCCTAGTTTTAAAATTCAAAGTCTAAACAACCTCATAATGAGTAGTCCTTAGGGAGCTCTTGTTTGGTTTCTGACCACATCTATCATATTTTAGAGGTAGTTAGGAAGTGTAGGATAAATATAGCACAGATAAAGTTACTTCATTAGGGAATTAATATAGTAATTGAAAAATATATTTAAAATACAGTAAAACTATTTGTAGACATGTGAATCAGAAAGATCATTAAATTAAATGATTCCACCATTGACCAGTGTTAACCAATTAATTACATTAGAAAGAAATTTGTTATGAGGAAGATTATTTAAAAGCCTTTATTGACACATAACTCACTTTAATGATTTCCCAAGCCAAGACTGTTACTAGGCTAAGCTATATAGATCTACATTCAGTGTTTACCCCTGGATATTAGTGCATAAATAAAACCTGAAAGTTAATATTACTTTGATAGTCAAAAATGTATAAATTATTATCAATGAATTCTAGATAATTATTACTGTAACAAAGATAATTTATTATCAGATCAGATAATAACTAGGCACATCAGAAAATAAAATATCCACTGGCATAACACTGGCATATATTGCTCTCCTTTGTTTGTTTGTATTTATTTATTTATTTATTTATTTTTGCCTGTATCTTAAAGAACAGATACCAGTTGAGTGAAGCATGCTTGTTCTTCATTGTGGAAAACACAGAAAACTTAAGTTACTAATGAAGATCACATAGTTCCAGGATCATGAACTGGAACTAGATATTAGAGGTAATTGGAACTGTTATAGAATTGTTGCAGGAATGACTTACGACTTAATAAAATCCAATTCAATATTTAATAGGTTTACAGTATACAGCATTTATTGCAGTGAACTCAATCATTAAAAAACAACAAGTTAATCTTGAAGAGGATATCAGAGCGATATATTCTTTGAGGTTAACAATTATGCTTATACTGATTTTATGGACTGAAGATTTGGTTATATCCGCAAACATTTTTTTTTTTCGAATTTAAGGTATCAGTGCTAAGATGTCTGACTTTTTTCCCTTAGTTATTAATATATCTATTTACTTGTGCAGAATAATGGTGGTTCCTTAGATCAACTTCTGGCCTTTGGCAGAAGTGTCTCATGGCCTTATAGTGAGGTATTTACCCAGCAGCTTCTAGTGAGAAGCTTACAATCTCACTTTGCACTCAGTTGCTGGCATGGAATTCTTGCACAGTAGATATTCATTTAATTCAGTCAACATATATTTGTTGATAAATTCTAATATGGCAGGAACCATCTGTTTACATGGTAGTTATAGAATATTGGAGGAAATAACCAAGTAAACAAACATTTCAATACAGTATTTTTAGCTCTAAGATAAGTATAAGGAGAAAATACTATTGGGAATTGAAAGGTGCACCTAACTCAGATCTGGAAAGCTACCTATAGGAACTTATTTGGTGGGTAGTATCTGAATAATAAATGGAATTTAGTCACATGATGAAGAAGAATTCTAGACAGGGAGATCAACTTGTAAGGCAACCCATAGGCAAAAGAGACCTTAAATTGGTCATATCTGCAAATTGGTTATACATTTAGGGTAGGGATACTGTTGAAGATGTTATTTACTACATTATACTTTTTTTTTTTCTGAGAACCCATAGACAAATATATCTTAGGTAACACTACCAGGAATTGCTGTGCTTCTCTTAAAGAAACTGATTTGCTTATATCTTAAAACATTGTGAGTTGTATAACTGGTTTCACTTTTTATCCTTACCTGAGCACCTGAAAGCTAAGGGGAACTGTCATGACAAGTCAACAAAGTATACAGTAACTTCAACATGCATTTTATGTTGTAATATAATTCTTATTTATGTATTTTTTCTTGGCTCACTTCCTCCATTTACATTTCCTTGTTTTCATTAACTATTTTGTTTACCTAATGAACAAATAGTAATTGAATGTCCACCATGTAACCATGTATTGGGTAGTATACCATTTCACTGGATTCAGTGACGGATACACACAATCTCCGTTATAAAATATCTCACAGTCTAAATGGAAAGGTGTTCACTTAAGTAAATATTCATGGTTAATTGCAATTAATAGTGACTGAGACATTTAAAAACTAATGTTGGCACATAAAGAGGGAAGGCAGTCAAACTACATTAGACGGGATTTCTGACGGAGAGATATCTGAGTTGAGCCTTACATAAGAGTTAGCCAAATAAAAAGTAAAAGGGACAAAACTCTGATAAAAAAAAAATCACAATCTCTATATAAATGGTGAGAATTCATGCTAGTGAAGTAGAAGATTCAATATTGAGATGTCAGTTCTTCCCAACTTGATCTATAGATTCAATGCAACATCTATCAAAACCCCAGCTAGTTATTTTGTAGATATTAACAAACTGATTCTAAAGTTTACTTAGAATGGAAAAATGCCTGGAATAGCCAAGAAAGTACTGAAGAAAAAGAACAAGGTTGGAGGACCGACACTACCCAACCTCAGTGTCTACCATGAAGATCTACAGTATTATTTCCAGTGTTTCTCTCCCTGGGCCTCAAGTAGTATCTTGTGTGCATAGGCTGATCAGTGTTCCTCTGAAGAATTTTACCTCTTTTTCTCTCTTTCACCTTCTTTCTGCAGCTCTGTGCTTTACATCACTCTGATCTGTGATTTCTAGTAGCTCTCTTGGCCTTTCCAGACTCCCAGCTCCATCTCATCAACAGCGCCATTTCTGCATTATGGCCTTGTAACTTTCTCAAGGCATTAAGCTGGGACAATCATAGGGCACACCACATTCGTTTCCCATCGCTTAAGGATCACTGTCCTTTATTGTCTGATGTCCAATATCTTTGAAGCCATCATTTTGTATATTTTGTCTCTTTTCTATAGTTTTAAGTGTGAGGAATAAACAGGGCCCTCCTATTTTATCTTGGAGAAGCAGAACTCACTAAGAAACTTTTGAGAATAAATAAGGGCAGTATTAATATTTATCCCATTACAGTAGAGTATGTTAGGTGCACCTTTCCAAGAAGCTAAGTGAACAGGGACTTAAGGGGGAAGTGATCAACATAGTTGGATATATCCTTTGGTGTTGACAGATAAAGGAGAATTGGTAACCTGAGAGGCCTGATAAATGAAATGGTGGGAATAGAAGCTAGATTAAAGTGAACCGATTAAATGGGAGTCAAGAAGAAGAAAAAGCTAATAAAGATGGCATTCTTAAGAAGCTGAGTTGAGCAGTGATGGAAAGGTATCAAATGGCATTTATAAGGGAATACACAATCAAAGGAAGGTGTTTTTGTTTACTTCAAATCTTTGTTGAGATGATAAAAGAAAATTAAAACTGACTGTGGACAGGGCAGAGGATGGGAAACAATGGCCTATAGATGAGCCACAAGTTTCTGTAAATAAAGGTTTATTGGAACACAGTCAGTCCTATCATTTACATATTGTTCATGGCTGCTTCTGTGCTTCAGCAGAGTTGAACAGCTGTGCCAGAGATCACATGGCCTGAAAGTCATAAATATATACTTTCTGACCTTGCATAGAAAATTTGTCAATCTTTGCACTACAAATCCAATATGCAGTAGAAGCATATATTTCTAGTCATCGAGAGTTCCAAATTCAGCAGCAATCATTTGTTAACCTATTACACTGGGACAGATAACATATCAATAATGTTAACAGAAATTAAAGCAAGCCTTGGATTTTTCATGTTGGATAATGAAGGATTGAAAGTAATTTCACAAAATAAAATTATATGGGCCATCAATATTAGATTAAAAAGTTAACATTGCACGCAAGAGTTTGTGAGCAAATTACTTTTAAATGGTTCAATGAAATTAAACTAAGAGTTTTATTATTTTAAATGGTTGTATTAATTAGTAACTTGGAGTAGACATTTACATCTCTTGTAGAATTTCAATAAAGAATGATAGATGGGCTCTATATTTTTTTTAATTTTCAAATATATAATATTCTATCATTTTAAATGTCAATTCAAAAACAACCAAATGACAGTCTTTAATAATTTTTACTGATTTTTTCATTTTAAGTTTAATAATTTTTAAAATTCTCTAGACAAAGAAGTCAAGCCTAAGCCTCCACGTATGTTATGTGCATGCCAAAAAAATAAATAAATCTTAAATGCATGCTTTTTATTCACCCTTTGATTCCACTGCTGAATATTTTGCTTAAAGTCAAAGTCTTAACTACTTTGTGTAAACAATGTGCCTATTATTGTAAGTGTATTTCTGAGAATATGCCATGCTGATATTTCCCTCATCCTTTTTTCACTGGAGGTACAAACCAGTACCTTCCATTAAGTACTCATTAAAAATCATCGTTCCCATTTCCATTTTTTTTCAAAATAATTCTTATCACAAATAAGATTGATAGAGGAATCTTTCCTTGTCTGTTTGTATTAATTTGCTGCAATCATAAAAAGAAGAAAATTAATATGGAAGATTAAAAGACAATGAATAATATTTAAAAGAAAAATGAGTACAGGAAATAAATATCTTTATATAATCATATTACTAATGTTTACCTTTATTTTTAGAAACACAAGTGAAAAAGGAAGAGAAGCCAGGTACATATATTTTATGTATAGATTTTCATTCCGTATTTAGAATGAATAGCATACCTCTTCACAAATGTTATATCCTGGTGCAAATATTTTATCCTTAACCAACTTTAAAAAAAACAAACATAATATGTATTTATCTAAATTACCTGTTTCTAGAAAAATTTACAAAGGTGAAACCACTGATAAATTTATATGGTAGCAGAAACAATTGACTAATTGAGTTGAAACTTATGAAATTGTATTTTTACCGATTAGTATAGGGCACAGACATCCCTCCAGAAAAACAGCTGCTCTCACTCTTCTATTTCTGGGGGCTCCTGAGTCAGTGAACATTTCTGAGGATTGCAGTAGGCAACAGAACACACGGCAATCTCATTTTCCAAACAGTTAAAACTTTGATTCATATTTCCCAGCTGTGTTAGCATAGGATGGCTATAATACAATAACACAAACAAGGTAAAATCAAAACAACAGAAATTTATTCTCTCACAATTCTGGAAGCTAGAACTCTGAAAACAAGGTGTCAGCAGGTCTATGTTTCCCTTGAACCCCCTGTAAGTAAGAATTCTTCCTTGCCTCTTCTGGCTTCTGTTTTTTCATGAACAGTCCTTGGTGTTCTTTGGCTTGAAGATACATCACTCCAGTCTCAGCCTCTGTCATCATATGAGAAAATCTCCCATTGTGTCTTTAACCCATCTCCCCTTTTTATAAGGACATCAATAATTTTGGAATAGGAACTCAGTCTACTCTCACATAAAAACATCTTAACTAAGGACAATTGCAATGATCCTGTTTCCAAATATGATCACATTGTGAGGTACTGGGGGTTTGCTCTTCAGCATATCTTTTAGGAGGACACAATTCCACCCATAAAGGTCTGCCCTCTGGCCCCCCAAAATTCATGTCCATGTAACAAAACACAATCACTCAATTCCAATAGTCCTAAGAGTCTCAATCATTTTAGCATCAACTAAGTCCAAAATGTCATCAGTTCAAAGTCCCAAATCCTATCTAAGTCAGTTATGAGTGACACTTGGGCTATGAGTCTTGAAGAAAATTTTTCTCCATCTGTGAACCTATGAAACAAGAAAACAAATTATTTGCTTCTAAAATTAGTGTTACAGGCTAAGATAGATTGCCACTCCAAAAGGGAGAAACTGGAAGGAAATAAAGAGGTTGCTGTCCCAAGTAAATCCAAAACAGCAGGGGAAAATGTTATTACATGTCAAGTATCTTCTTTGGCTCACAGTTATGTCCTCTGGACCTGTTAGCGTGGTGGCTCTACACTTAGGCCCACCTGGGTGGCAGCCCTGACCTCTCTACCTGGGATGTTTGCCATCACCCAAGTAATTAGAATTCATGGCTCTGCCCTTAGAATTGTCATTGTTTTATTTAATCCTGTCTCTTTCCATTTATGTCCAGGCCAGCGCTTTGTGCTTGTATAAACTTCGCAAAAACATAACCAGTCTTGCCTTCAATTCTTGACGGTCCAACCCATTGGACAAGGGGGTTCTCTACAGACCTGTCCTGGAAAACATGTCTATTCTTGCCTTCTGCTGAGGTGGTATATTGGATCCATGAGTTTATCCAGCCCCGCCTTTAACCCTGCCTCCGGCATGCTAGATAGGTTAAGGATTTTCCAAATCGTCAAGTGCTGGTTCCTTTTGTTTAACAGTTCATTCCTGAATTTATCTTTCTTTTCATATTTTATTAAGTAGCAAGGAGAAACCAGGCTGCACCTTCCACACTTAGAACTTTACTCAACTAAATATCCATGTTTTTCACTTACTAATTATCAAATTATACCTTCCACCCAACAGAAGAAAACAATTCAGCCAAGTTCTCTGCCACTTTATGAAAGACTGCCCTTCCTCCAGTATCCAATACTATGTTCCACATTTTCCTCTGAGACGTCACCAAAAGCACATTTAACATTCCTATTTCTAGCAACTTGCTCATGATAATACACATATTCTCTAAGATGACAGAAGCTTGCTTGGTAGCTCTCTTCTATTCTTTCTGAGTCCTCAGCAGAATAGACTTCAATGTCATTATTTCTGCCAATAGTTTTTTCAGGGAAGTCTAGGCATTTTTTAATCAAGTGCCTCAATTTTCTTCCAGCCTTTACCCATTACCTAATCCCAAAGCACTTCCACATTTATATGTATGTGGTAGAGCATCACCCAGCTTTCCAGCAACAACACTATTCACTTCCTTGGTTTTCGGGAATGAAGTTCCACAAACTGGGTAGCTTTAAAATGTGCTTGTTAAACAACAAAAAGATATTCTCTCACAATTCTGGAGATGAAAGTCCTGAGGCAAGATGTCAGCAGAGCTATGCCTCCCTTCGAAAGCAGTAGAGAAGAATTTTTCTTTGTCTCCTCTGGCTTCTGGTTGCCAGCAACCCCTGGTGTCCCTTGGCTGACGGATTCATCCCTCCAGTCTCTGCTTCCATCATTCCGTGGCCATCTTCTGCCTGTGTGTCTCTAGCTCTGTGTCTCTTCTCTACTTCTTATAAGGACAGAGTCAGATTGGATTAAGGACCCACCCTACTCCAGTAGGACATCATCTTACCTTATCACATCTGCAAAAATCCAATTTCCAAATAAGGTCACATTCTGAGGTATGGAGGTTTAGAACTTCAACATATCTTTTATCTTTTGCAGGGACACAATTCAAGCTATAGCACTATTTGTATAAATTTCTAAATCACATAAGTGCCCAATTAGATAAATTTCAAAGAGACTCTGACAACTTTTTCATCAAATCATCTCCCTTATTTTGACATTGGAACTATTCTCCACAATAACCTTTTTGAAAAAAAACATAGAAAATTCATGTTAAAATCAATTAGCAGTAGGAACAACTGAATGATAGACATGTACATGGCATGATTTTAACTACTGTATATTTAATAGATTAGGACTGACAAGCCAGCAAGAAACTAGAATAAGTTTTAGTAAAATTCTACTTTTTCAGTTATGGTAAAGTAAAATGAAGTAAATAAAATAATTTCCAAACATGAATTTATGCTTCAGTGTTTCTTAGCTTTTAAAATTTGGGCCTTTTGTTTCCCCTCAGAGTCACAAGTTAAGAAGGAAGCAAAACCAGGTATCAGTGTTTTTATTTTTATTCTTAAATAGATACTGAGCTGATATTGCCTCTGTTACCACCCACCAGCCTAGATTTACACAGTCTCCCCCAGATCCTCAGTATTTCTACCTCATTGCTCAATATAGCTTTACAATGCTGGGTTAGGTGACAATGGGGTTATTCCATAGGCAAAAACATCTAGAATGTGGCTTTAAATGGACCTCAGCAGAGACTCCAGTTTTCAGGAGACATTTCTGGGGGAATCTTCAAAAGCTAGTATGATTATTTTTAATTTGCGGGTTTACTTCTGAAAATACACTAGACTTACACACTCACAAATTATAGGCCACTGGGATTTGAAGGAAAAGAGGACAAGAACTTACTAAGTATCTGCTGTGAGCTAAGGAATAGGATAGGATTTTTATTTTCATCCTATCACTATGAGAGACTTGCAATGTCACAATCATTATCTGTATTTAATACATGTGGAAACAGTTCAATAGACTCAGTTCAGAAAGTAAGCTATTTTTCCAAAAATTTTTAGATAATAAATGTTGGAGCTAGGATTCTGCCCATGTCTGGTTTACTCAAAACTCCCATTAAGAAATTGTCTCAGACTAACAATTGTTTTATTAAGAGGTAACAGTGACCTAAGATTGGGGTGACCTTTCCAAGTTTACATTGCTACTTAGTGTTTAAGTCTTAACTCTGGTACCAGCTAGCTACTGACCTAAGTAAGTTAAAAAAAAAACCTCAGGTTTTATGGGAGCTATGTCTCTGCATAAGAAATTGCATAGCAGGATTCTTAAATATCAACAAATTCAACAAGTTTATATGTGTATACAGTTCTATCTTACCCCTTACCTGAGCTTACCTAGCAACTGATCATAAGCTTGAGTCTAGTCATTATAAATAATATATTTTAACATACCAAGGCATATAAATATCTAACTACTGTCTTATGATTTATTTTCCTGACTGTTCTTATTTGCTACAGGTGAGTGTATGTACCAGGTAGAAATATTTTGCACTCCCCCACCTCTTTTTTTTTTTTTTTTACCAGAATCCCAATAAATTTAAAACTTCTAGTTAGGCCTAGTACCATTTAAAACTTTTATTATTGCTAAATACTATAATTTTCAGGTGACTTAATTGAATGTTTTTTAATAAATATATGTTTCCTTTTTAGCTTCATCTGAAAAAACTAAAATATACAGTATGTATATTAATTTCATCTATAATACTTATGTAGAAGTTTTTACAAGAAAATAGTAAATATTTTCAATAGTATATATTGGTAATATATACTTCAGTATTTATGCTTTATTATAGCCTATGCTTTGGAAATCATAAGTGTTTAAATGTAAAGAATTTTTTATGAATTATTGCTGTAAAATCAAAACTTTTGAGTTTTCAGTATAAACTAGGATGACATGAAATTTAGGAACAGTTTTTATTTCATGGTCACATTCATTAAAATCTGTTATTTTCTGCTTAACAAATCACTACCTATGTCACCAAGAAAATTCACCATATATTAATTTATAAAGCTCATAAATATTTGAAAATATTTTCTTTTTATTATTTTCAGAACAAGACATAGTGAAACCAGACAAGACTGTTTCTCATGGTAAACCAGGTATTGCGCAGGTGGTACTTACTGTGTGAAATAGCCTCTCACTATTCTAACTATAGCAGGATGAAGAGCTTAGAGTCAAATCTGAAGTTATTAGGAATGATTCATGTGTTAAGTCATCCAGCTACAAACATCTCCAATTTTCACAGTGCTTTTGTACTGAAACTTAACTTGTCGGTGTAACAAGACAGCTAGTCATCCCTTCCTATCAGACACAGCACAAAGACTATCCACACCAGGACTCAGGTGAAGGGGCTGTATATTTTGTTTTGTTCTGTTCATCTGGGACAAGACACCCTTAGAAGATGTATAAGTCAAAATGGCTTATTCAAACGTGACTGTCTTAGATTTTCTTTGTGCTCCTACCCAATTTAAACAGAAGATATCACTTGCTGTTTTACTGAAGAAACAGCTAAGTTTTTCTCAGTATTTGGTGTTATTTCAAAGAAAGTACAAAATATCAAGGTTGAAATATGTCACAGTTTTGTACTGATACATTTAAATTTTCTACTTGTGTTAATTTTTTTCCTATCACAGAAGAAAAAGTTCTCACTCAGGTAAAAGCTACCACAATAGAAAAAACAGGTAAGTAAGATATTTCATATTATTCTTCTATGTATCAGTTTTATGGTATGTGGGTACACACACACACATCTTCACTAAAGTGTGTGGACTTATAGTGCCATAAACTCTAAGGTTGTGAATTCTTGTAAATAACTAAAAGATATAATGGGTAAAAATAATAGTAGAAACTTAGAGTGTTATAACTTTATTTTTTAAAAGTGTTATTGCCCTAAGCTTACATATAATTCTTGAGGAAATCCATGTAGTGTACCAATTATCATATACTATTAAGTGCTTTATCTTATTTTATAACCACATTTTCTCAAATTTTAAAATCACGTAAATCTGACACTACCTGCTGTTTATGTATTAGATGGAATAATTTCCTTTCGTGAGAACTCTGCACGGCATTATGTGGTTGTATAACTTTTTTAATCTGCCTTAAATAATGATCAGCAGAATATGTAATATTAAAGCAAAAACAATCCATCTCATTATTTCCGAGTAGGAAAGAAAGGTGCACACATTCTTGTAATTCTGGAGTTCTTTCCTATAGGGATGACTGAAACTGAGTCTACGTCTTAACTAACATCTTGAACCACTGCACCTCCTCCATTTGATTCCAAGGCAGTACTACTATCCACCTTGGCAATGAATAGAGTCCCATTTTATGCTAAAAATCATTATGAAAGAAAAAGCCTATGAAGAAATTTCTTTCTATTAACTGAAATAATCATAATAATCAGGATTTAATAGTTCCTCAGAGGAAAATATAATACAATTCAAGGAAGAACTAATTTGTTGATAGAAATTACAGCGTATTATCACATGAGAAAGAAAACTTGTAAGACCATTTTTACATTGCCTCATATCACCATTGTACTGTATTCTATCCATTGCCAAATCTCATAATTTCAGGTAATATTTCTCTAATTTGCCCTGTAAGGTGCTAATATGGCCCCTGAGTATCTCATTTCATTATATGGGTATTCGGGAATTATGAGAAAGCTAGCTCAATGCATTTGTGTGCCAAATATATTGATTGTTTTAAATTTTACATACATTATATGTGTCTTAAATTATCAATAAGCAGTGCAATTGATTATTTGCTTACAGTGAAATAATAGTTCTGAGAGAGAATGGATTTAGTTTAATACAATAAAATAATCTTAAACTAAAAAGAAATATATACATATGCTAAAGAGGTTTTTCTTTTAATGGTTTATACTCATCAATATGCCATTTACTTTCCCCCATTCTCCAAAGTCAAGCCCAAATCAGCAAGTAAGAGATGAAAAGAATAAAATCTGTAAAGTATTGCTTGGCTATTTCAACTTTAACAACTTGCTTGGGCTTTTTTTGTTGTTATTTTTAGTGTTAAGTCCAAACACGTGTAGACATGATAAATTGATGTTATCACTATAGCTTTGATTTGACATCCTTGTTTTTCACTACTAATTAATAGTCCATTATAATTACACAGAAGAAATCTCTGGAAGTTGTATCACTATTATTAATATTCAAAGACTGAGTTCATATAGGCTATGAAATACCACTAAGAAATTTAGAGTAGTTGGGCAATCTTTTAAATATACATAATGAATAACAAAGGAAGGTGAAGTGATATATAATTAACAGTGTTATGAACCACGTACTGTTTTTAATGTGATTGCCTTAGGTAGCATTAATTATACTGTAGGTAGGTATTTAGAAATCCATGTAATTATAAAAATTTGGCCATTTGTTTATTAAAATCATGGAATTTTCTCATGAGTGTGGCTTAAAAGATCATCCATTTTACTGTTCAGGAATGTAACAGAGATTTCAGTGATAGTTTAAAAGGTGACAGTTTGGCACAAGAAGGCATGAACATTGGTTCATTGTCACACAATTAGTAAATATGTCCAAAATTGTGCTGGAATTGTGATGTTGGTCCTTGAAGGAGGTGTATTTGTGAAATGCAAGTTTAGACAAAAACATGAGTGGCTGTTAGTCAAATATTCTCTGGCTCTGAATAAATACTTTGTTAACAAGATCCAAAGATGAATTTAAAAGTTAGGAGTTCATGTAAGTGGTTCAGGAGATATAGAGCAAATATATGAGCCTAAATAGAACAGATTCACATCCTAGAACCTGTTGCATGGTTTTTGAAGTTGTATTTTATGTTATTATTATAATTACTATATTTTATTTTGCTTTTGCAGTGATGTTATTATGACAGTTTAATGACTTGAATATTAGCTTCTTAATTTCCTTTTATTTTGCTTTCTTAATATTAACATTCATGCAAATTGAGTTCATGAATGTTCATTGTGTAATGCTGTCTATCCCTAATTTTCAAATATCCAATTTAGTCTTATGACAACATGGGTCTCACATTCTCCCCACCTACTTCACTGTTGGTGCACAATTTGGGGAAACATAGTAGTACTTTTAGAGACTCTCCAATACAGGAATGAGGGAAGGAAAGGACAAACATCAGTACGAGCTCAGGAGAACTAAACCTGAAGATGATTAGAAAGAGCTAACACTTGTGAGTGATATGCTACATTTCCAAATATCCTCAACTCTATTTAAAATATCCTACTCTATATGTCTTCATTTTAAATTCCACTTTTGATTAAAAACAGAAATCTAATTATCTTAATTCAAATATTTTTCAGAGGGCTAAGCAGGATGTCAATTACATATTTTGATTCCATTTGTCATGTCCTAGACTTAGTTGGGATTCATCTGTAAGTGTTCTAACTGGGCCTGGAAAGACAATGTGCTTTAGGAAAATGAAAACATAAAATGTGGTACTTTCTGGAATAAAGCAAGTCTTGGTGAAATTTTTAACAATAAATTAATGTCCAGCTCAAAACTGCTTCAGACCCAGCAAAAAGGGAATTGCAAGAAGTCAGAGAGGTAAAAGGGGAGCTTGTGAAGTGACAAAGGCAAATGTTACTTGCTTTAAAATATTCTCAAAGAATGACTTAACCTTTGGCAAAAACGAGATATCCTCTTAATGATTCTACTCGGTCATATTTTATCCTCCCTTCTTATACACATGGCCTCATGAGGGACAGTACTTTTGCACATCTTACAGGATACCCTGAGAATGAACCTGACCTTGTTTATAGTGCGTTTCTATGGTGATAGCTTTCTGTGTTCCAAGTTATATGCAAATTACTTTGGGGGCATGCTTCCCATATAAATTGAGGATTGCCTGCCAATATATAAATAAGAATTGCTTGCTACACAAACACCCCACAGAGTGCCAGTTAATTTTCATTTCTCTCTCTAGAAAAAGCTGAACATCAAGAAACAGAATCTCCACCTACAAAAACAGGTGTTTTTGCTTTTTTGGTTTACATTCTGTCTTAACTCACTAGTTTAATTAAATTTGAAAATTAAATAAAGCATAAATGTGATTTTCATTTTATCTCATCGTAATGTTTAGTCTTGTGGTTTTGTAGTAAAATCTAGTTAATCTGATTATAAGGGCTGTTTTATTGTCCAAAATAAAATATTTTCCTAATATAACCAAAGTATATGGATTGCCAAGCATACTATTATAATATAGTCATATTAATAAAATAGTATTTACTTTCATGATTCACAAGACCCTTTCAAAATATTTGTGTTTCACAGTTGTCAATATTAATATCATTTACCATACTGATAAAGTTGGTTCACTATTGATAGATTGTAAAATATACTATGAAATTGGATGTTTATTTCACTTAAGACTAATAATGAATTTCAACTTGATATATTTTCTTAAAATAAAATATATCTCAATCTACAACTGTGAGCTTCTCTTAAAAACATTATTCAGTTTTTAAGATATGTCATACTTGGCATGGTTCAAACAAAAGACATATAGGAGGCTAACTGAAAATATCTCTCCCTCTCCTCCTCTCTTTTTTTCCATTCTACCAGTTCCTGTCCATAATACCCGATAATATCCAATAATCACTATTATTTCTTAATGTATCACACATACATATATATATATATATATACAAATAAATATGTGGTCCTCACTTTTCTTTTTTACACAAACCATGACATACTATAAATAGCCCTGTCCATAGATTTTTCTATTCAATAATGTATTTTAAAGATTGTTTGTATCAGTACATTAAGAATTTCCTCATTATAGTATACTATTGTATAGTTTCACACAGTTTATTTAACTAGTCTCTGACTGACAAATGTTTAAAGTTGTCTAACAAGCTTCTTAAAATGATGTACAATAATAAGTATATTTACCCGTCTAGTTTTGCGAATTTATCTTTGGGGTAAAATTTCTTAAAGTAAAACTTTTTAGTGAAAAGATATATTCGATGCAATTTTTGTAGATATTTTATAGATAGTTGACCTAATTTTGGATGATTCAAATTATTCACAGTCCTGACCATATGTATCTGTTTTTTATGAATAAGTGGTTCTTTAGTTGTAAGCTTGCATAATTAATTTTTTTAGTTAATAGTTTCAGAAGACAAGGAATATTGAAAGCAGACAATGCTTTTAGATTATATAGTTTTGTGTTTTTCACCTACCACTCATTTATTCTCCCTGAGGTTTTATAAAGTCAACTTCATTCAAAATACTGGATTAGGAGAGTTTAAATAGCTGTCATTAATTAATCTGTATTCTGAAAGGATACTGGCAGAAAATTCACTTCATGTCATTCAGAAACAGTAAGAAATCCAGATTATTGTGAGCATTCATATTGCATTAAATCAAAGATGCAGTTTTACAGAGATATAAAAGAGACAAAGAGTCTGTATTTTAAAGCTCTATAATTTCTGCTATAGGAAATTCATAGAGAATATTACTTAAAAATTACCCACAATGCATTACTATTGTTCATTTTAATGTAAGCTTAGTCTATTCCTATTTTAACTCAAGTAAGCAGAAATAGGAAACAGAAAGGGCTGATATTTTACCTACAGATTAAAAATTATCACTGATTTTCTTCTTTTGTCTTTTTTACTTTTTAGACAAACCAAAACCAATTTCAAGTAAGTGCACTTTTTTAGAATTTTAAGAATTTGCTGTTTAATTATTTTAATTTAATAAGTTCTTTGAATTTCACATACAATAAAAGTACAGTATGTTTTATTAATACAATATCATCATTCCATTTCCTGTATAAATGATTCTGATTGATGAAGAATATTGGGTGTCTTGTATTCATCAACACTTGAATATCTATTTATTGAACTCCTATTGTATATATAGTATTGGAACAAGTTATGTGAGGAAATGCCTAAAATGTTTTCTGTTGTCATACTGGTGTAATAACATATGCACCAAAATAAGTAACATCTGTGTGAAAAAAAGTGGTTATATATCTCTTTTATATACTTTTAGTTGTTTGTTAGATTTAAACACATTAGAGGTCTGTTTAATAGTTACTGCTGGGTTAAGAAAAATTCAGAACGCATAATACCTGTCTTCAATTATTTAATTTAAACATTAGCTTTTTATTACCTTATTTTTATCAAAGCCTGAAGGTAAGTTGTTTTTAGTATTTCAGTATTACTGTTCCCTTTTGACATTTCAAACTATAATAAAAATGCATCCATTTATGAGATATTTGAGAATTTATTACATTTTAAGCAATTACATAAAGATGAAATTATCATTTAATACCATTAAACTATGACCCAAACTTTATCCTGGGGCAAAAGTATATATGTTTCAATCAAGTGTATATCTACAAGTTGTATCTAAAGCTTTTAATGCCAAGAACTAACCAAGTTCCTTGAGTGATCATAGATTCCTTACAAATGAGATACAATTTTCTTCTGAATGGATTGATGCCAAGGTTAAACCATTAAATGCTTCCTTTGGAGAAAATCTCTAGTATATTTAGTTTGTATTATTGCTGCTAATGGAGAAAGTATTACAAAAATTAAAGGGTGAAAATCAAAACTAGAATGCTAATAGAAAATGTAACCATAATTGTTTACAAATGCCATTTTGTTTATGAAACATGATTAATTTCTATCTTCATTATTATTAAATATTGTAATCATTTTCATAAATTTATAACAGCTTCCAAAAAGGGTATAGAAGACTGATAATTAAATATATCATTCTTATAGAAAATGTTAGCACTTGAATTGATTTGCAAGGAAAGATTTTTTTAAAACCTGCCATGTCATATTTTAGAATGTTATTGGTCTATGAATTTACTGAAGGAACAAAAAGAAAGGCTGGTTCTACATTATCATAGACTAAAGACAGATAACATTTTATATCTTGTCTCACTATTCTTAACTGTAGTCACCATAAATTGAGTTTATTTCTGTGACATTTTCAATCTTATCCCACAATCCTACCCATTGCACTTACTACAACATTTTGTACATGAAGTTGCTTTACAAATATTCAGGGGATGCGTGCATGAATGAAGATGAAAAGTTTATGTAGTGGATATATTTATAATTTGTAATTAAGAAAACCAACCAAAGGATTTGGATTTAATTAATTAATTCAACCATATATGAATAGGCCATTTATTAGTTTGTAAAGTGAATCTGTTTTTAGAGTAGATTTCTAGTCAGTTTTCAGAAATATTAGTTATCAGTATGTTTCTTTGTCATTTTGGAGTAAATGAGTCTATTGTTACTACTACTGGAATTTCAGAAGAAATACTGAAGATGAAGCTCAATTGCCTGCTACTGAAATACAATTCAAAATGCTATACAAAAATAATTCTTTCATTTTTCTTCTTTTTTTTTTCTAAAGAGGAAACATCAGGGGCTATAGAATCAGGTAAATATTTACTTTCCCAGAGGAGTAGCATGGATCTGTGGAAACAGTATGTAAATTTGAGACTCTGTTTAGCTATATAACATTTGGGAGAATACTTTAACCATTCACATTCCTGGTTTTGTCATCTATAAAACAGGCATAATGACTTCCCAAAAGGCTCATTATATCTCATTAAATGAAATAGCATATGCAATATTCCCCCTGCATAATTGGTTGTCACTCATTAAATATGGTTTCCTTCTCAATCTTGTCTGATAAATATAGTTGAAAATCATCAAGCAATCAAAACTCTGTTTTGAAAATCATGTGTCCACATTTTAGTTGGAGATATTTTAAGACTCTTTTATTATTTGTTTTCAGTAGTTTATATATTGAGCATCCATAGCACCAGTCAAATCCTCATTTCCTACAGATAATACTTAAAATTTTAGATGTTCTTCCTGTTGTTACTAGCTTAGACATGCATGGCATATTCTAGCTTTCCTTCAAAGCATGCAAAAACAAAAACAAAAAAGAGGGGCTCTGCCATGCAGATAATTGAATAGAAGCCAAGTAATCAAGCATAACAATAATATATTTGTTCTCACACATGAGAGGGAGACTTTTCCTTCCCATCCTGAAAAAGCAAAGCCTTCACCTGCCTCCACTTAATGGAATTAAGTCTCATCTCCAACTGTTTGCCCCAAGATTAGGTAAGAAAGTTATATTTTTAAAGGTGATGATTTCTTGTTATCTTTTCCCACCTAGGGAAGAAGAAAATTGAAAATTCAAAAAAGGAAAGTAAAGGTAAAAAATCCACTTAAAGACACGTACAACAAATTAGAAATAAAAACAGAAGAATAAAAAAAATTACACAAATTATATAATTTAAAGCAGTTCGTGAAAATACAGACACTGATTTTAAACATTTATCAGAACTGCAGTTCATTGTAGGGTTATCCACGTAAAAGATGTAGGTATCACATTATTATTATTAGACATCTAAAGGGAATAGGAATTTAGATTTTAAAGCAAGCCCAACCTGTTATTCTATTAACAGCATAGGATTCTTTTCACATAAATCCTGAATTGTGAATATTGACCACACAATTTAATTCCAACCTTAGGAAGATGTATGAATAAATATGATATATGGCTCTAAATTATCATTTTTTTCTCTGCAGAAAAAACAGAAATGAAACATCTTAAAGAAGAAAAAGGTAATTTTTTAAAAGATTGAAAAGCAGAACACAAAGCCTTGAAACTCAAATATTTTAACTTAGAATTTATTTATACCATTTTAAAATTAGATTAAAAGAAGAAATGTGGTAAATGGATAGTAGATATGTGATAATGTCAATGTCAGAGGAGCAATGCATGGCAGGCCAATCCCCACAAAAATATGTCCATATGTTGTACCACGGGTGAGAGACAAGGGAAAAATCATATTGCAATGTTGCTTTTTCTTTATGTTGGATTTATTTATTCAGTAAACTACACAATATAATATTTAATGTGGTTATCTAAAAAACTTACAAAGGCCTTAATCATCAAAGCTATGTTCTATTGAATTAAGAGGAAATCATTCTTAGGCATATCTAAAAGATTAATAATAATAAAAGGAGACACTTTTTTCTGTTTTATCTTCAGATTCAGTTAATCAGAATGACCTATTATCCATGGATACTAGTTAATTTAAATTTCATATAATCGTTGCATTCATGTTATATCTCTATTTATGAAAACAAAACAATTTCTACTGCTAACAATTACTTTTTTTAGATGTTATTAGAAGACAATTTTTTAAAATCACCCAGGGAAAATGTTGAGAATACTTTAATTATTCCCATGTTTCTAAATCTTAGAGTGAGCCAAATTTTTTATGCAATGCTTTAAAAATTCATATTTTAATTTATACTTTCCTTATAAACAGTTCCAACAAGAGAAGAAAGTCTTCAATCAGACAATGAGACAAAAGGTAATCTTTGACTGTAAATATTTAAATGCTACATTTGTATGGAGCACTTAATATTAACACTAATTTTTTTAAATCAAGGAAGTCTAGCAAGTGTACACTTCTGTTAATAGCAGTGGAAATGGACAGGTAGGAAATGTGGAGAAATTGGAACTATTAACAACATAAGCATTCAACAAAATATTCCAGTATGCACCAGGAGACAGATTTCTCTATTACAAAATACTTTAATAACATGAGTAAGGTTAAAGTGATATAGTTGTAAAAAAGAGAGCTGAGATTTATTTTATCTGTGATTACATAAAATATAGCCAATAGTATGAATGATTTTTGTTATTTAAAATTGGCCCTTTGAATTGATTCAACCTAGATGCAAAGGGGGTGGTAGAGGGCAAATGCCAGTAAACACATGGCAGGTAGACAGCCTTTATCTGAAATAAGAATGACCTATTTTTATGATATTGATCATCATAAAACTATAAATGAAGGTTATAACTGAATTATGTAGTTAAAATTATGAGTGATATGATTTTAAGCAAATCCTGTTAATTCAAGGTGTAATAGGATGTAAAGGCTTTAGATTATAAGGTGCTAAGTAAATATGCCATAACTGAGCAAGTGCTTTACTTCACAATAAATGCATAGATTACCAGTGTGTCTCGTTTTTTGCTGGTTCCCTCTTTCTGCTTCTTGTATTATGCATGCCCAAAATGGCAGGATGTATCTAGATATGTAATTATTACTAATTTAGACATATAAGTCTCAGCAATATTAAAGGCTAAAATTTAGAATAAGAGAGCAAACCAAATGTGTATAAAATTGCAGAGGCATAATTTATATATTAAAACTTTCCCTATCATTTGCAACAACATGGATGGAGCTAGAGGGTATTATGCTCAGTGCAAAATATCTCTTAAGATAACCAACCAGTAGATTGAAAACAATTAGAGAGAAAACTCCTAACTAAATCCTTTCCTATTATTAGTTCATTTACTCCTTAATACCGGCCCAATTATTACGTCCAATTTAAAGATGAGGTAAGACAAACATCTCAGATGGTTTACATGGTAGAGACAGGACTTGGCTCCAAATGGGTATCATGCCAACGACTTAACAGTTGAGCCCATTCAATAACATTTCACTCTCCTATAACATTGTGACAAATAGAAGGGAAAGCTTTCTAGCAACCAGAACAGCCCAAAGGTAAAATGTACCCCACTTGGTCTCCAAGGCAGTGGTCAATTAGGGATATGACCCTAATTGGGGTCATTATCTTTGCAGAGAGCAGAATAAGGGATACAGACAGTGAATGTATAATCCTTTCTCACTCCATTCCATGAGTCCATTATTTTATATTGTGAATACACAGTAAGAAAAAATTATTATATACGAAATCACAAGTCCAACCCTGAGCTAGTTGAGAGTATAGGCACATTCTTACTCACATCTTCCTTCAGCAGATAGCTCACTGTTGAAGTTAACATTAATAAATGTTTACTTTATTACTAAGTTCCTGTCTTTTTAGTATCCTGTCTAGTACCTTTACAGGAAAAATAATAACACAGCCTTACTGAAGTCTATATCTGAATTATTTTGTTTGTTCTGCAATTTTTTACATGAGGTATGCTGCTATAATATCACTAAGAACATAAATATCCCAAGTGAAAATGTTTTTAAAAACTTTATATTGGCATTAACCCAATTTTTTGTTAATCTGTAATTCTTAGATTTATACTTTGCCAAATCTCACAATAAATTGTGTAATGGAGGTTCATTAAAAAAAATTATATCTTCAAGGTTGGCACTTTAAATTAGACTAATGTTGGTGGAATGACAATGTTACCAATCCTCTTCTTTTTCTAGAAGTTATCATGTCTGTTATTGTATTTGGGGCAATCACTTACTTTACTATATTTGCCCTACATACATACACTTCAGTGGAAAAACTTTACTTTGAAAATTATAATCTATCATTGAAACTGTGATTAAATGATTGTGAAAAATTAAGCTGGATCTGCATGTTGCTATTTAAGACTTAGTGATTTATCTTTATTCTTCTTTGAAAAGAAAATAATTCTCAATTATATATTTATGGAATTTGGAAACTTTAAAGCAAATATTTAGATTAATTGCATTATACAAAGTAATTTTACTCAAGTATGATATAATTACAGTTGAAACAAAACACTTAATTTAACAAAGATTATGCTGATTTTAGTAGGCTGAAAAGTATGACTATTGTAGCACAAAGAAGACAAGTAGTGACTCTGTGGCATCTTACAACACTGTTAGACAGTGACTTCAGTGGGATATGGGGGGGACTCGATAATATGGTGAATGTCGTAAACACATTGTTTTTCATGTGAAACCTTCAGAAGAGTGTATATCAATGATACTTTAATAAAAAAATAATAATAAAAAATATGACTAAGTTGTGAAACAATGATTAACAGCTTTTTTAATATCTCAGATAAAAGTGATTAATATATTCAAAGACTCATGTTCTCAGGCAATAGAGAACTTTATTTCTTCATTAACTATTAAGGAAAAAGGAAGAGAATAAAAGACATTACATTATTTAGTCTATCAATGGATAATTTCTTTGTATTTAATGTGAGTCAAGCAAAACTTGTTTTCTTTTTTATAGCAGAAAAACCTACAAGAGTTTCAGGTAAGTACTGCTTGTATTGGTGATAAATTCTCTTTGACACACAGTATAAATTTCAAGCTGCAATTCATAAAATATTTTTCATGTATTCAGAGATCAAATCATTTTATACTAAACCCTTTGACAGGAATTTGTTAACTTCTAATCAAATACGTTATTTGAAATAACTTGTAACAAAAATATCTTCTCCAGCCTGAAAATTAAAGTGTCTTGCTCAAATACAGAAATCTTTTCAGGGATTAAAGTAGAATGGAACAAAATAAACCTATTTTTGCCTGAAACCCTCAATCACTAAAAATTTGTTGTAGAGCATATATGACTGAGCAAGGGTGTTTTATTTCTTGTTGTTTTCTAATGTTTATTAAATTAAATGTAATTGTATATTTCAGAAGTATAACATAATTAGGAATATATTAATATTGTATAGCAAAACATAAAGCTCTCAGAAATCACTCTCTAAAGTATCAAGAGCTAGGTATAAATAGGCTTCTAAATACACCGAACACAATTCTAAATTCTCTTATAACTTCCTAAAATTCTGGGAAATAGCAATTTTCCTTCCCATGTTTCCTGATTTAATAAAAATAAATCATTTAAATCAGTGCTGTCTAATACAATCTTGCCAGCCACACATGTAATTTTTAATTTTCTAGTAGACACATTAAAAGGGTAAAAGAACAGATGAAAATATTTTTAATAATATTTCTTTAACCTATATACAAATAGTATTTCAATATGTAATCAATATAGAAATGTATTGATAATTTACTTTTTTTTGTATTGAGCCTTTGAAATTATGTGTGCATTTTATACTTACGGCACATTTCAATTTATACTAATCACATTTCAATTCCCCAAAGCCCTATATGGTTAGGAGCTACTGGTTGGACAGAGCAGATCTCAGTATTTATTGTGTACTTTCACTGTATCTGGCACATAGTAAGTATTGAGGACAATACAAGGCAGTCATTAATGTGGCACCTGTCACGTATCTCATTCAAAGCTCTCTGACTTAATAGAACTACACATGGATTTGATTCAATAATTTTAAAAAAGAAAATAATCATAAGGGTACAGAATTATCTCCCTGACATGAAGGCAAACTTACAGTGATCCTGAGGAAAACCCTCTGAAACTATTGCACTCCACACCCTTCACCTATAGCCAAAGATAGTAAGGGAGACTTCATAAAGGGGGCAATTCCTTAAAGAATCATTAGAATTGGATAACTGGAAATAAACAGAAGTGCGTGTAAATGAAAAATTCACTTATCCTGTATGTTTTTTCCTTACTCTCACATGCTACCACACTCCTAACACTTCCAACTCCAGATGTTTTGAGTTTTTTCCATACAAAGCAATTTTCTGTAACACCAGTTCCAGTCAGTTCGGACACTAACTGGAGTTAACCTACCCCATAGATTGAGGGTCTTGTCCCGCAAGACGGTTCCCCACTTCAGATGCCAATTGCAAGTAATATTTCCCCCAGGTTACTCACAACTTCTGTAGAACTCAGCTACAGATTGATATTCTTGTGACTCCCTCCCTTGGATTCAATTATTTGCTAGCTAGAGCACACATGGAACTCAGGAAAACACATTCACCAGTTTACTATGAAATAAGGATATGAAAGAGGATATGATAAAGGATACAGATGAGTGGCCAGAGGAAGAAATACACAGGGTCTGGAAGGGTCCCAAGTGCAGGAACTTCTGTCCTTGTGGAGTGAGGGTTGCCACCCTCCAGGGAGGTAGCCCAGAGTTATTTGAATCCCATACCTACAAGATTTTTATGAAGACGTCATTATATAGGCATGATTGATCATTATCTCAGTCTCTAGTCCTTTTCCACTTCTTGGAAAATGAGAGCTGGGGCTACAAGTTCCCAGTTTCATATCAGAGCTTGTTCTTTTTGGTAAACAAGTGCAAGAGCCCAACTATTGCCTCATTGGAACAAAGCTCTCCTATCATCAAAGAATTCCAAGGGATTTAGGAACTCTTCCAGGAACCAGGAACAGAGACCAAAATTTGTGTTTTCTGTTATTTCAAAGTTGACCAAGAAAGCAGGATATATAGAGGCAATCAAAAGAAGGGTTGGCTGGGTTTGATGGCTAGTGTTAGAAAGCAGGGGGAGGCAAGGACATGCAATGTGACATGGAGGTAAAAAACTGACCAAAGAATTTAGGCTGACTTACATGGAAATCTGTGATTTATTTATATAAAGGAATAAAACATGAATAGTAGTAGTAGTAGAAGTAATAAAAATCACACTAAGAGTAGTAACTCAGGAGAGAAAGGTATAAGGAAAAAAACTGTCTCTTATGGATCATATGATATAAATGTCTAGAGACATCATGGAGTGATATATGATAATAAGTTGGTTTCTGAGTATATGAAGATCATATCCTGTGTAGCACATATTACTTTTTATCATGCCTTTTTAGAGACAATCATCAAACTGCCTCAGCTATTTATCAAATAGAACATACTGGAGATAATTTAACTAAAGAATCATTGTTCTTTTTGTGAACCCTGTTTTCAACATTATGTTGTATGTATTTACTTTTGTTCTAACTTCTTATTTATTTTTCAGTCATTTATTTGTCTTTCACTAAATGAGGTTCACAAAAAGCTCCTGCTTTGAGCACATTGCTCCCTTCACCCACATTCTCTAACTTTACTCTCCTGCCTGTATCTCTGTTCTGGATGGACCAGCCTCTCTATCTCTGCGAGGCCATCTTTTTCTGCCTAGATCATCCTTCATTCCCAGATATTTTGGTCCAGAAGAAGAAGTGGAAATATGAGGAAGAGGGCTGATGTAAAACAGAGGGGAGGTATCTCTTCCTGAATTCTACTAGTTCACTCCAATTGAGATGCTTGAAACCACCCCAAAGGAATAGATTCTCAAATTTCTGGGGTTTTATTGTAGGGATAAAGAAGATACTGATAGAATCAGCACTATGCCAACATCTTTCTACTGATTCAGTGAAAGAAACATTGCAAAATCAAATTTCCCATCATCTGTAGACAATTAGGCTTTAATCGATGCTTGTTTTTGTGGGTTTATTTTTTAAAGGACGTGGCTTTCTAATTTCTATATGTTCATTTGATTTTTATTCTTTATCTTTTTTCTTTGTAACTAAGGTAAATATACAATCAATAATTTGCTTTTCTTGGAGTTTGGAGGAAGACATCAAAAATTGTTAGATTGTTTTTTATTTAAGATCTATTATCTTAAAAATTAAAAACAAACACATTCTTGAACATTAATGGTGCAACCCTGTCTTCCTAATACTATTTTAAGTATCTTGAAATCTTTTTTCTGAAAAAAAGTATCTGTACATCCTAAAACATTATTCCCCGGGAATTTTCCCAAGGGCAAAACATGAAATAAAATAAAAGAATGAACAAATACATTATTAAAAAGCAAATGGTGCCGAGGGAAGACTTGCAAGGCTTGACATAGCTGAGACACTGACATTATATTTACAACAACGGGTGTCGGGGCAACAAGGAAAATGCATTTATAGGAACTCATAGTTCTTTTGTTCTTATTGTCTGGTAGTCAACATATAAGTAAAGCTAGGCTGGCTTTCCCTTCAAAATGAGTATTTTAAAAGGAGTGTAGGAAGTCTTTCTCAAGATGGTGCTATGTGGAAATTTAACTTTGTTGCCTTTTTCTATAACATTTTTCTCTGTTTATAAATAACATTTTGCCATTAATATCTTACCAAAATTATCCACATAGGTTTGGGATCATTATAAAGTCTCTAAAGTCTAATTTTGATATCAAATATAATGAATTTAACTTTTTAAGGCTATACTGATAAAATTTAATCTTTTATAGAAGTTAATTACTTTTTAATGAAACTTCAAACAAGTCCAACAGTGGGCTCACCAGGATTTCCATTATTTAGACAACTTACATGTTTGGTATATCTTAGGCTAAAGACTTATTTAGGAGAGCATACTTAAACATAAGTAAAGTATAATATTTGTAATAATAAAAACATAAGGTATCTTTTTACTGATTATCTGTCCCTATATTGAAAATTTTCAAGAATTTCAGAAAGTCAGAATTTCCCAATATGTATGTAATTCCATTTGAAAGACCATGACTTTTTCAGACAATCATGGTACTATTAATGAGTCAGTGAATTGTAAAATTCTATATATACATATGACATATATATATATACATGTATCATATGTATATACAGGCAAAAGAACTTTTTTTTCTGAAGTACAAATATTGTTAATATTATCTATAATTCTCTTTAATAAACAATTAAATTAGTGATCTTTTCCAAAGTGATCAAATACAACTTGAAAGTCACCTAATAGTCCATCTTTAAATCAAATTGTTATCTAAGACTAATTAAGTTGTTAATAAAAAATAATATGTAATTAATTAATGGTGGCACACCCACACCTTAACTTTTAAATAAATTGATCTATTTTGTCACTACACAACATATGCCAATCACATTTTCTAGTTCCGTACAAGAAAACTTAATAGCCTGATTAGGAAGAGGTTACAGAAAAAGTCTTGAAACATTAATAACTTGATTAATTTCACAGAATGAGTTTGGTGTTATTCATGCCAGCTATATATTGAATTCATTTAGCTAATTTTGATCAAAATGTTCCCCTTAAAATAAACTAAATTGCAGAAACTTAAATGATTATTAAATTTCTCTCCATAGTCTGTTCAAATACTGTGACCATTTTAAAAAAGCCATTTCCATTGCTTTAAATATATAATATTTTTGTGATTGCCTTTTTCATTGTTTAAACCTGTGAGATTGATTATGTACATAAAATCACGAAGAGAAAAAAAGGACTTACCTTTTCTAAAATAGCTCCTCAGGAAATGAAGATTTAGTGAGAGATCTTTTCTGAAACTTTTCTTTGTATACAAATTAATTAGAAATTGGATTTCCTTTTCTTCTCCATAAATAAAAATTTGTCCATGTTTTTGATCTTTAAAAAGACTTTATTATAT